ATCTGGGCTCCCGTCCCTATGCCTCTTCCTCTTTTTTTGTGAATTCTCTCTGAAACTTTCACTGAGAAAAAAAGAGACTTGAGAGAAAAAGACCCAGTTCCTGCAGATCCCTGGAACCAGGTTTTCGGAAAATGCATAAAACACCCATAATCGAGAGGTACTTGGAAGAAGCAAAAAGCTAAGCTCTCTAGTCTCTAGTCTAGTTCTGGTCTTCAGAGAAGGCTGCTTGTTGCAAAATGGGAGACAGGTCCCCCGGATTCCTCTCCAAGGCAAGTTTTCCCAAATCCAGGGAAATTAACTTTGAAGTTTCCTACAAGAAGTTGGGAATGAGTTACAGCAATTAAAACACATGTTGCCTGCTTCCAGAGTAGGTAGTAATAGATGCTTTTATTCTGGTTTTAATACCACAGTCAGGGAAGAAAAGATACTGACATTCATTGAAATCCTACTGTGTGCGGAGAAACTTCCATACGCTCTCTCCCTTAACAGAAGGTGCTCTGTATTTATCCAAAAGAGGAAATGATAACGGTGGGTGGAGGAGGGGACCCTGACTGTGTTTTTGAGAACAAGTTCACATTCTCAGAAGAAAATACCCAACAAGTCAGGATTTCAGAGGCTTATAGCCTCTGAACCGTGGCGATCAGGCAGTACATAGCAGGTGCTAAATATTTGTAGAAACAATGACCTCCAAGATCTCTTCCAATATAGGTTTCTGTGAGCCTATAAATAACTGAGAACCAAGGGCAGGAGAGCCTTCCAGAGCACACGGGAGAAACACCTGCTCCAGGCACGTCTTGTCTACAGGCGCAGGCAATTTCTCCCAAGGATGGCAATGATTAACTCAGCCTGTAAAGACTGCCGACAGCACAATGAAATCGAGTGCTGCGATGGCTCAATTAACAAATGCTCTGGAAACGGAGTTCCCTTTTAATGGAGCTGGCTGATCTACCCAAAAACCTCACCATCAATCATGTCTGTTGGGGGTGGCTGTCGGTGATGGGACGGCTCCCATCAGTGGTCCGGGAAGCTGGAAGGTGGGAGGCGCCCTCACGTGGCTCCCATCTGTCCACGCACGGGACTGAGCCTGGGTGACATTCTGAGGTTTTGGTTCTGGTTCCTTCTTGTTGGGGACGCTACCCTGGCCCACTGTCCTTCGGTGGACATGGCACATCTACTGCAGCCTGACTCATCACCCACTCACTAACCCACCCATGTCTGTGGTGTTGCCCACTCTAGCTTGGTGCTGGGAATCTGAAGTCGAGCCAAGCCTGGCCCCCAGAGAGTGCAGTTTCCTGGTGGCACAGAAGTGGGTGAACAGACCCCTGGGCAATGCTGGGGTGAGGCACCACAGGATTCCCACCCACTTATGCCTTTAGCAGCAGCTGGACCTGACGAGTGAAATATTTTCCCCGAGACGAAGGAAACACCTTAGTGTTTCAGGAAGAAAGAAGAAAAAGTCTGAGCAGAGACTTTTCCTATGATGAGCAGCACCAATGGCTTTCAGGGGAAAGAGGCCTCCCCTGCGTCCCTCCCAAGGAGCACACGACAACTGCTTGGGCAGGGGAGAGGAGCTTGGGCCCACGATGGGCCCTTTGCTCACAACGACTTCCAAGTCTCTTCCATCCCAGCAACTTGTTACTGAAGCACATCACCTCCTTCATTAGGGAGGGTTGAAGCAGGCTTGCCCTCCCAGACTGCAACAGCCTCCTGCCTAGGGAGGGACGGCTGGCCCAGAAGCACCAAGCAGAAGCTCAAGGTCATGGACTCAATGTGGCCAGGCCAAGAGAGAGAAAGGCAGGACCCGGGGCCCTGGGCCTGCCCAAGTTCAGAGGGGCAGCCTATGGGCCAAGACAGCCCCAAAGGCCAAAGGCATCAGATCATCTGTCATCTTAGTTCAGATAACACTTGGGATCAAAGGCCTAAAACAAAGTGGGGCTGTCCCAGTGTACTGGGATGCAACGATGGGGACGCCAGGGGTAGGGTGGAGTAGGGGCATGAGGCCAGAGCCCCGTGACAGGAAGGGACTGGCATCCGCTCAGCAGAGTGCACCCGATTCCAGTCCCTAGAGAGGAGGGAGATCTATCTGGATTATTCAGGCAGGGTGGAAGCTGGGGATGGAAAACTAGGAACTCAGTCACAGGTCGGGAGGAAGACACTGCAGAGGACCAGGCAGCGGCAACAGCTGCCACAACGCTGGGGCATCGCCATCCTGGGGCCCTTCTCCCTGACCCACCTGACCCGTGGGGCAGCGGGAGGCGCAGGGTCTGACCTGGACCTGGGCTATTGGTTTTGCACGCTGTTGCTCATCAGCTGGAGGAAAGGTCAGCAGGGCTGAGGGGGCACGGGGACCATGGTGTTCTGTGCTCTCGTTCTCAGGGCAGGAGACGTGCCCTCCACCCTGGGCCCCAAGTGCCAGTCACAGAAACTAAACAACAAAGGCTTGTCCCTACCTCCCCACTCCCCTGGGCCTTCTGTCCCTCACAGGACACACCCTTTTGCAGAACAATGCCCTGTCACAGTTGCGGTGCCCCAGGGGCAAGGCAGGAACTCTGGGTGAGCTCTCGGAACCCAGGTGACCCCAGGTGGCCCGGTACCACAGGAAGGGTGGCCTGAGACCCTTGGGCTCTGTCTCTGGACCCCAGTGGTGCCCCACAGGCTAGGCTCCCAATTCCCACTTTTTAAGTGACTCCATAACTTGGCAGATCCCTCTGAGCCGGAACGAGCCCTGTCCTGCCGCTAGGGGCTGGCCCGTCCGCCCACACCATCTGATTTCTTAGAGCCGGCTCATTTGGCTCAGACCCCACACTGCCTCAGCCTTCAGGAACTGCAGGGCCGTCCAATGCAGTGGCTGACACACTGACAAATCACTAAAAGCCCAGCTAATAGGACTAAAGCACTTTTTCTAAGAAAATCACTTTATCTGTATTTAAGCCACTTAGATCCTTGGATAACTTAACCAACAGAAGCGCAAACCCATCTCAAGGATGGCAGGTGAACTGACAGACTCAGAAAGCAGGTCAGCTGGGTTTACCACCCCTAGGAGAACACGCTAGTCAGAGCTGAGGAGATTCCAGCCCAAAAGCACGGAGAGGAAAGTGGGGATACAACTGCGGTATCACCACATCTCCCAGAAGGAGAAGACACAATAAAGGCCCCTTTTAGATATTCAGTCCTCAAACACAAGGTGCCTCACCAGATCCCTGCCCTCCCTCGTCTTCCTGCTCGTGGGGGAAGCCTGCGCCAGCCCGGAGGGTCGGGAGCTGGGGTCCGAGGAGCTGGGCGCAGGCACCAGCCCGGCAAGCCTCACCGGCAGCGTGAACTCGGCAGGTCATGGCCTCTGCTTGACCCCAGCCCACAAAATGAGGACTTCTGGGCTCCCCTCCTGAGTAGCAGGAAGGGTTGTGGCAACTGGAAGGAAGAGAAAGAGGATCACGGGGCCAAGCTCCTTTATCTGCAGCCCCCACGGTGCTGAGAGTACAGAGGAGGCCCTTACTAAAAGGAGAATTTTGCCTTAAAACAGGAGCCTCATCAGGAGATCAGGAGGCACTACAGCTCTCACGCTTTCCCTGGGGGATCTTCAGTGGAAGCTTCTGTTGCCTTCTGCTGTGTGGTGGTGGGGGGGGTCGATGAAGGGAGCAGCCTACAGCCAGACCCCGCTGTGCTCCCCAGCCCCCACCCACGTCCCCAGCCCCCACAGCCTAGGAACGCTGGCCAAGAGGCAGAGGTCAGGACGGACTGCAGTGGGGGAGAGGAGGCGGCCAGTCAGAGGCTACTGCAACCATCCAAGCAAGACTGTACCAGGACAAGAGTTATGGCTTTGAAACAAGGTATGAGATATAAACATGAGACACTTCAAAGGCAGATTCATTTGACCAACTAAAAAGGGAATAATTCTGTGCTTTTGTTTTCTTTCTTTCTTTCTCTCTCTCTCTCTTTTTTTTAGCAACAAATGACTGGGAAATGAAAATGGAGAGGTGATTTAGAGGGCTATTAGAGGAATTCTGCTTCAGATACACTGAATTTCAGGTGACAGAGGATAATCCATGTCCATCAGGATAAACCCAGATTAAAGACAGAAAAGAAATTACAAAGCATCAAGTCTACTTCATTTCCTTTTGTGAACTGGGTGATATGTCTATTGAGATCCCTTTTTTATTCCACACCCATAACAATGTGGCAAAAGTATAGAGGAAGACAGCAGAATGATAAAAGCACCAGGTGAAAAATTATTTTAAGAAACTCCCATGCCTCATAGCACCAAAACCAGATGTGCTACAATACCTAGTGCTGGCAAAGGGGCAGTAAACTGGCATTCTCATCCATGCTGGAAGAAAGAACTCTTTGGAAAGCCATTTGGCAACACACATCAAGAGCCATAAAGCGTTAACATTCTGACCTATAACATTACTTCCAGGAATCTATCCTAAGGAAACAGCCCAAAGAAAGCAACAGATATGATGAATGAGTGAGGGTTTTTGTTTCGTGAAGATGCTCATTATCTATAATAGTAAAAAACTGGAAGCCGTATCAGTGTCTAACCATAAGGGAGGAGACTGAGAACATTATAGGCCCTTAGAGGAATTATTAAAATAGCATTACAATGCTAGTTATGAAGACAATGTGGTAACAGGGAAATCTTTTTTTTTCATTTGCCATAATTTTAAACGAAAAAAGTAAAAAAAGTGGGATCTGTGATTATAAAGACATGATGACAATAACATCTCTGTTAAAAGGTGGTAGGATTTAGGGTGCAGCCTTTTCCCTTCACTTTCCACTTTTTGTTTTGTTGGGTTTTTTTGTTTGTTTTGGGGGGAGGTAATAAGGTATTTATTTATTTTGATGGAGGTACGGGGGATTGAACCCAGGACTTTGTGCATGCTAGGTGCGTGCTCTATCACTGAGCTATACCCTCCCTGTCCCTCCACTTTTCACATGTATCATGTTGCTTTTGATGAAAAATAAGTGACTGGGAATGTTAAAGTTAGGCGGCGGGATGGTACCTTGGCTCCATCCACACTGATGATCCGATAGCTGTTCCTTGTGACATCGTAGAAGTAGGAAACCGTGACCGCCTGCTTGCTCGCAGGCACCCAGTTCTTCTTGGTGTTCGGGTCGATCTGGAAGACGTGCGCGCGGGTGGTGAAGATGGGCTGTTCTCTGCAAGTGGAGAGATGGGCACGTGAGTTGATGGAACATGACGTTATGTATAATTTATGATTTCTAAGCCACCTAAGATCTTAATCGTTTATGGGGAAACATACATATGCATGAGAACAATTAAAACAAGAAACAAGAAGTGAGGAGAAAAAAGAGACACCAGTGGAGTCAGAGTCGTTACTGAAACCCAACACCCTGAGGCTGTGGGGCAACTGACCTAAGGAACAATTGGCTTAAAAGGCAGCTCCTCATGCAGTGTTTCTGCATCCGGTCAAGTGTCCTGTTCTTTTTCTGACATCCCGTTGGCATTTTTAGGATTTTGCAACAAATTTATTTGGGGGGATTCTGTAACAATTTTAGGATTCTGCAAACCATTTGTGACTTCACATTATATTTCTATTAAATACTTCTCAAATTTGCAGCATTTTATGAATAATACATTCATTAATTGACCAAACCTTAAAGTTTTATGTTTCCAACTTTATAAACCTTTGGGTTTTATGTAAAATTCATCAGATCTATCTCTTTTGCTATTCGTGCCTCTGGATTGTTGTGGCTTTTTCACTCCACATGTCTGTAAATTCCTAATGTGATTATTAACCAAATTAACACAGTATCAACGTTTCTTTCTGTTGAGTGGGGAATTAATTAGATCTTGACAATAAGCATTAAGAAATAAGGCAGATGGATAAAAATGGTAATTGATTTCACTGCATTTCATATTTCAGGGTATCTATTTCACAAAGTAATACAAAATGAATCACGGGCTCATTACAAAATATAATTATTTTTGAAGAAAGTCTTCAGGCAAACTGGCTTGAAAATCCTTTTAAGTGTTCTGAATAAGACAAAATAAGGGGGGAAAAGCCACCAGTATGTAAAAATAATCCTATCATTCATAAAATGCTATAGATTGGATAAGCACTTATTAGAGATAAAAATTAAATCAAAATTAGAAAAATTATTTTTTTAATCCTCACAATGTCAAAGAGATGACATAAAAGAATAGGACACCCAAGTGGATACAAAAAATAAAATCAAAAGGGAAAAGTGAATTTTAAATATTCTGGTCTCTGGATGGAGTGGTTTCAGGCAAGCCGCCTCTGAACCCATCCTGACTATAGAAGGCTCATTATTGGAAAGAAAGCTGTTTTCCTAGCAGAGAACTTTTTCCTAGAAAAGCAATTTACTATGCATTTGAGCCTCACGCAAGGGATACTAAATAACGCCATGAACACCAGCATGAACCGTCCATTGTGGTTGTAGAGAAATGCAAAAACTTTTTCATGACTATTCCCCTGAATGAATAAAAGCCAAGGGCATGCTCTTCATGCTACCTAAGTGCAGCTGTCTCTAGAGTCCAGCTTTCCAGAAGAACGGACAGAGCCCAGCATTCCCAGCCCCCCTGAGTCTTCCCTTCTAGGTGGTCCCAGGAGCAGGGAAAGTGTCTCTGGGATGTGGGTCACTAGGACGTCTGTCTTCCCTCACCAGTGACCAAGTTCACCCACCCACTCAGTCCTAAACTGACACCCAGCCGCAGGGTGACAGCCGCAGAAACAAAAGGAATATTCTCACTGTAATTTCCCCGCATCTGTGGTCCAGAAGGACCAGCCAGTGGGGGAGCGTGCGTGTGCCCGTCTCGTCAAGTCCACATGGGGAAGCCTGACATCTGCACCCCCAGCTGTGCTACTGCAGCCCAGGCTTCCCGTTTTGCTAATCATCCAAGTACAGCATCATGAAGGAAAACACTTGCTCACATGGAGTTCTGCATTTGGAAGAGGAGGGAGCGACTGAAAGGGCAGTAATACAGAAAAGGTTTTCTGAAAAGTTAAGTTATGCAGTGTATATAAATATCAAATCCTGTGCACCTGAAACTAATATAACGTTATAGGCCAATTATAGCTCAATTTAAAAAAACCTGATTTATGCTAAAATCTCTGTCTCCCTGGACAGAGCACTAACAAGCGGGGCCGGGGCCCACGATCAGGCAGGAGAGGAGCCTCCCAGGGGAAGGGGTCAGGCTTTCGGTCTTCCCTTGTGTCCTCCACACTGAGGAAGGGGGACTGGGTCTGGGTTTTGCACCCTTAGACCAGTGTTCCCTAAACCTCTGATAGGAATGAGCTGGAGCACTTAGGAAAAATACAAGTTCCTTGGCTCCAGCCAGGTTACCCCTGCAGGAACCTGGCTGTCCAGGGAAGGGGTCTGAGTAGCTCTGTTTTTAACAAGAGCTACAGGTGATTTTTATCCTCAAGGAAGCTGGAGAGAGATTCCCATTAGACATTATCAGATGATCTAGAAAAACATAGAAGTGACCCCCTACAGCCAGCATTGCTCCTCCGGGATGACACAGAAATGACTCCAGGACATCCCACAGCTTGAAGGGGACAACAGAGGGACCAAGGATCAGATCTCTGGGTGCAAAGGATGGGGGAAGGGGTCTGGGGAGGCAGAGGTGCTCTGGTCAGGACACAGAGCAGCCTATGGTGCCAAGCAGTGACCTTCAGAAAGCACTGTGTGTCCCTGAGACCTATAGGAGTGAGAAAGTGAGGAAAGCAAGGTGGAGAGAGACAGAGGTGAGGACTGGGAGACAAGAGAAGGTGGTAGAGCTTTCCAACTAGGGACAAGGAAAAGCCACTGTGAGTCATCTGCTTGGCATGTCTCGGGTCCAGGCGAGTACGCAGACAAGAAGGGTCCCATCTCCAAATCTGTCTGCTCAGCTCTGGGGATGGACCGATGTCACTGCAGGTTGCCCTTGGGACCCCAACCAGAAATGCAAGGATGTTGGGACAGCGCCGTGGGCTCAGCTGGCCACACCCTCAGTGGCTGCAGCCCTGGTCACCATGGTCAGGCCTCTGCAGGGGAAGTGGCTGCTCCTTGTGGAGAGAGGCACTGAGACCCGGGAAGGGAGCTGCGTGTCCTGCCAACCCCATTCTTAGGTCGGCACCATGGGAGGAGGTCTAACTCCTGCATTCCTCAGGCCTGGGGCTCTGGGCTAGACAGGACCAGCCTGCCAGCAGCTGTGTGCCCAGGAAACTACCCACAGTACTGGGATTTCCACATGAATAACTAAGTCTGGGGCCACCAGGGAGTTCTATTTTATTCTTATAAAATTAAAAAATCTAATGGTATTTAAAGAAAAGGCAAAAAAGAAAGACAAGATGGAAAGAAAAGCCAGTTAATATTGAGCTAACATTTAGTTACTAGCCAGCTAATATTTACTGATTATTTGCCACCTGCCAGGTTTTGCACGCGAGCTCTCATTTAGGATCACGATGATTCTATGGGGAGGGTGCCCACAGTGGGAAATGGACCTCAGAGAGGCCAAGGATCTACCTTGGGTTACACAGTGAGTAAGGGGCAGATCTGAGACTTGAAGTTAGTTTTAAGTGACACAGATAACCTCCCACTTAACCATTACACTCTTTTCCTAAAAGTAACAGTTTCTGATGGGACTCCCAGTGATCTCCACCATGATCTTCACGCCCCTGTGTGATCTCCTTCCTGTAAGCATGGGTGGGACCTGCGACTTGCTTTTAACCAACAGAATATGGTGAAGGTGACAAGATGTCACTTGTGCAAACAGATTACAGGGGACTGAGACTTCTTTCTTGCTCGCAGACTCTCTCTTGCTGGCTTTGATGAAGCAGATTGCCATCTCAGGGAGTTCCACCCTGCAGGAATTGAGGGTGACCTCCAGCAAGAGAGGAATGGAAGCCCTTAGCACAACACGCCTCAAAAACTGAAATTCTGCCAACGACCACTGAGAATCTTATCTTTCCGCACTCAAGCCTTCAGATACGACCCCAGTCTTGGCTGGCACCTTGACGACACCTTCTCAGAGACCTTGAAGCAGAGGCCACAGCTAAGCCATTCCCAGGCTCTTGACCTACAGAAATGTGTTTTGTTTTAAGCCACTATGTTGGTGGCACTTTATCACCCAGTGATAGGTAACTAACATATTGACCTTCACAGAAAATTCACTGCACACCGAGTAGATTGTATATGTTCTCATTTACCCTCTGGACGGGGCTGTGAGTGGGTATCATTATCTACATAGAAAACTGGGGGTCACAGGTTGATTTCAGGCAACTTGGAAAACAAATCTTTCCATTTTTATGGGCAAAATCAGAGTACAAACCTCACCATGAAATTCAGAAAAGCAGACCCCAACTCTGAAAGCACTGCCCTACCTGAGAAAGTAAAAGAGCTGGAACTAGGACACAGAAGTCAGTTCCTGTATGTGTGCAAATCAGTATAAATAGAAAAATTCAAGAGAGGCAGAACTTTCCAAGCCAAGAGGCCACCTCTCCTTCCCAGCAGGGAAAAGCTGAAGAGAGTGTATATCAAGAGAACAGAAACTACCTTCATACCCAATTTTATTCTCCTTTCTTTAGTGTTTGATGCTTAGGGAGTATATTTCAAATATACTCCCATTCCTTCTTCAGTGCTTTAAATAGAAAGCAGATGTTTCCGGATGGCAAAACGTTTCTTTAGGCAGACAATATAACCCACTGTTCCCTTGCATAGTCTTTTTAGAGCTGAATAAACACCAATTGCTGCTCATTGAACACATTTTGGAACCTGACAGTAATTGTCCCCAAGAATAATCAGACACTCTGTGGAACACATGTATGTTTGGAATATGAAAACCACTCGGCAGAGACCACTCCTGCTTTGAACGATTTCTGGCTTTGTGTGAAATGATTCTGCAAAGAACTGGCATGATTACTTTTTGCAGGAAAAATTTAAAAAAGAAAAATAATATTTTATCATAATCCTTCACTTGCAATGCTCACCAGACTTTTCCTGATGTGAACATGTAAAAACCTCACGATTCTTATTATTCCTACTTCTATTTGATTTGAATTAAAACAAACCATTCAAACATTATTTTACAGTCATTTAAAGTGTTTCAGAGTCTCACAGGATGCCCTAATTAGTTTATCTGTGTTGAGTCTTGAATCCTTCCAAACATCATTCCTACAGCACCAAGAGAAAGG